TGGCTTTGTGTGCTCGCTCGCGTTTTACGATCCTGCGAAAAATCATCTCGTTTATGGATTTTTAGGGGGATTCCTTTTTTGTATGAGGCGAGATGGATGAATACAAATCATACTGATGATTTGTGGGGCTTGGAAAAAAATCAGGAAATTCTAAAATAGCTCAAATGTAGCTTAATTCTTCTTAGCAAACTTTTTTCTTACTGCCTTTCAGCAGACTGTAATTTTGGTTGCACAACAAGAAGAACCAGGATGTTACGCAGGGATCGACTTGGGTGCCAACGTTATTTCTGCTCCACGTCAATGATTTCATTTTCGACATGATAAATCGATTAACAGTTTCGCAGAAAATAGAGATTTTTTAGTGGTTTTGTTTTGTTGCTTCGTTATGTCTTCCTTATTTCGATTTTGCGCACAAGCGTTATTGGAATAAAACGGTCTGGCTAATTATGGAGAACATGGAAATGCTTATTTTTTAAGGTTATTATTTTTTCCTTATTCGGCCTGTTGCCGGGATTTGTAATGCTGAATAAGCTTAATTGAAATAATTTCAAGTTATAAAACGATATTGCTTCAAATATATATATACTGGGAATATAAGCCCTTAGATCACAGATTTTAAAAAAAAACAAGTAACAAGATTTTTGTTACGAATATGCAATGTGGCAATGTATCCTTATATTGTTGTTCTGCTAGTTTTGCGGTCCCTTGTTGTACTTCTGGTTCAATGATTCTAAACCTATTCGTTTCTTGTCTCGCACACATATATCACCGAAACTTTGCAATGAAAAACTTTAACAAGGATTTTGGGACTTCAAGTCAAAAACGAAAAAAAATAAGCAGCCTACTATCAGGGTTCTCTTTAGTGGCCATAGACATTGTTTTTCCAACCATCCTTACTTGCTATCGCTGTAAAAAATAACCGAAGGCTCAACGATTCGTTATGTTTGTTGGACAAAAAACTTTACTATGACTTGGCATGTCCTTTCAGAGCGGTAGACCTGCTTGTGTTTAAATAGGAGGGAATACTGGCAACCATTTGCTCTCTGTTGAAAAACCTGGAGGATATCACCGCCTGCAGAAATAGAGAAATCATGCAATCCGTTGCCTCAAAAAGTGAACCAGCTTACTTTGTTAAGAAAACTAAGCAGTCGTTTACATTTTAAGAGTTATTATCGTCAATAATTATTATGGTTGCTTGGAATAATTTGGTTTAATCTTAAATAACCGTATTATTAGTTGGTTGCCGAACAAGCAGGCTGAGTCTTACTACCATGATGCTAGACATACGTATAGCAAAATACGTACTACATTTGCTTCTTTCAAAATTGTAGAATAGGGCAATACTATTACTGCAAATGTACGGCCTTTGAACGAATCAGGTGTATCATAGGTAGTAAATTATTCTTCTATGTTTGATATATTTTTCTGTTTGTTACAGGTAATTCAAGATTTGGTGCATATCTTGAATGAATCCTAAAAAATCGCACATATTATCTAACGAGGACCCATGAGATGTGGTGCCGATTTCCTACGACAACGAATTTTACTTTACTCAAAAATAATTCGGCCAAATCTGGACAGAACAGCAAATGTCCAGAACTTCATCTCAGCTAATCAACGGTTCTTTGTCGTTTTCTTTATTTTAAAACACATTTTCGTGCATAAAAGTTAATATTCATACTAATTTAGGTTTTGGACTTTTAAAAACAAGAAATCGGACAATTATTTTCAAATTAATTTGCAGAAATTCTGTTTTAAAAGAATATAAAATGAACAATGTAAGCAATCTGACCTTGGGGCTACCTAGCAATACTTTCTAAACAACATTGAATGTATGTATGAAATTAAAGCTTCGCTACTGCTTGGCAAATTTCTGGAAAAGGACTACAACGTTTTTTAATAGTAAACAACTTGAAATGCCTTCGATGTCAATCTGTTCGTTTCCAATATTTTTCTTTTCACAGTTTGTAGACTAAAAAATTCCTTGTCGATCTGTGGAAATCGAAATGTCGACCGTCATCACATGTGTCCTCGCTCTCGTGCAAGGTTGTCAGTTGACGAGACTTTCGAAGCTCGTTACTACACCATATTTCGTGTGCACAGTTATACAATGTTTATTGGTTGTGTTTATGTTTTTGTTTTTACTTTTGATATTAAAAGTAAATGCATCAGTTGACTCGTGTTGTTAGCTCTCTGAAAATACCATATGGCAATATACTTTAACACTATTTCAATGAAATAAAGATATGTTGGTTCTACTACTGCGAAAGGTAGGGAAATCTAGAAATTCTACAGACGAAAATATGTGAATTTACCTAAACTCACCTTAGTCCAAAAGTTGACGGTTTGCGAGATACAGGGTGTCGAAGTTACAATTTTATTTTCTATTTTTCCTTATTGCTTGAGAAGTATTTCCAATTTTGGCATAAAACTCTAGTATAAGAAACAAGAATCCGTTATTTGTTATGCCCAATCTCATAGAGTACGGCACTTACAGCACTATTTCGGTAATTAACTTATCATAACTTTTTTATGCTTCCCTGTGTACAGCCACTGACCAAAAACTTTTCTCATATTACCACAACAAAAAAGGTTAACTTGTTAGACGTGTCTAAAGCTAATTGTTAAGGAGATATTTGTTTTTAAAGGTTCCAACGCATTATTTGTACCATGATGATAAAACATTTTTATAACATAATAATCAAGATGCTTTGGATAATATCTGAGTAGCGTTGCTATGGTTTTTAACAATAACAAATGAGGATGGCAACAAAACTAATAAACGGAAATAATAACTACGAAAATTGTTCAAAATGAGCACCACCTTGTCTAACACACTCGCGAGCTCGACGAACTAATCCTTGCTGCACTCTCCAAAGCATTTGGATGTTATTTTTAATTTACTGGCTATGGTGGAAAATTCTTTGTCGAAGATCATTTACAGTTTCCACTGGCGTATTGTAAACGCGTCGTTTTAAATCACCCCAGAAGAAGAAATCCATAGGATTTAAATCTGGTGATCTAGCCGGCCACGATACAGGTCCTAACGGCCTATCCACTGATCTGGATAAACTCTACTTAGGTCCTCTCTAATTAATATACTAAAATGAGGTGGAGCGCCGTCGTGCATAAACCACATATCCATGCGTGTTTGTAATGGAAGATCTTCCAGCAGAGTGGGTAATTGTTCTTCAAGAAATTGTAAATACCTTTGGCCATTTAGTCTAGGTGGTAACCCTATTAAATATTGTCCAATTATTCCTGCCCATAAATTAATTTGAAATTGTGCTTGGTGGCGGGTTTGTATTATTGCATGAGGATTTTCGTCCGCATAAATGTGAAGATTATGCGAATTAATGGGCCCATCCCTTCCAAATCCTGCTTCGTCCGAAAATAATATTAACGAAGTAAAACGATTGTCGTGGTTAAACTTCCTTAAGAGTCATGTACAAAATTATACCCTTGCGGGTTCATCATCCGCGCTTAAACCATGTACTTTTTGGAGGTGGTATAGATGGAGCAGTTGCTCTTGAAAGATGGCATTTACTGTACATTTGGAAACTTGAAATTCTCGAGCTACATTCCTGACTCCAACTGTAGGATTTTCGAAGACAGCATCTAAAACATTTTCTTCAACTTCAGCTGTACGTACAGTTCTGGGAGCTCCACTATGTCGGACCATATTTTGAGCAAAACTACCTAAAATCCAAATGGTTTTTACTTCTCAAAATAAGGCTATAATCATTTCTTACCAGTTACTCGTAACCGCTGATCGATTCGTTGGAAAGTCTTTGAATTAGGCAGGTGTCTATTAGGGGATCTCTCAGCGTACAATCTTCGTGCTTTTAAAGCATTGCTCTTGCCAATCCGTACATTAAATGCATATCAAAATATTCATCAAATGTATACTCCATGATGTTTAACAACTTACTGTCAACTTAAAATTATTCATGAAGTTTAAAGCAATATTATGACAAACATTAGAATTCATAGCAACGCTACCCAGATATTATCCAAAGCAACTTGATTATCATGTTATAAAAATCTTTTATCATTATGGTACAAATAATGCAACTTTTAAAAACAAATATCTCGAAAACTATTAGCTTTAGATACGTTTAACAAGTAAACCTTTTTTGTTGTAGAAAAACGAGAAAATACGATTTTCTGGTCAGTTTTTGTATAAGGGGTAGCACAAAAAAGTTATGATAAGTTATTTACCGAAATAGTGCTGTAAATGGCGCCCTCTAGAAGTTTGGCCATAAAAAATAACGGATTCTTGTTTTTCATACTAGAAAATCTCTCGATCCCGAAGTTTCTGCCAAAATCTTACATACTACTCAAGCAATAAGGAAATATAGAAAATGAAATTGTAACTTTGACCCCCTTTATCTCGCAAACTATCAACTTTTGGACTAAGGTATATTCAGGTCAATTCACATATTTTGATGTATAGTATCTCCAGTTTCAAGATTTCCCAACCTTTCGCAGAAACCCTGTATAAGGTGATTCAAAAAAATAACATGAAAGTTCCTAAAATGAAAATCTAAAACGCCTACCGAACAACGAAGAAAGGGACTCAATATTTTGATATACCCACATATTTTCGTAATTGAGAAAAAACAAAAGAATCTGAAAAAGAAAGAGAAGAAAAATATCGATTCCACATGAACTGTTTCTTCTTCTTGAAAATGTTTGTCGGGTAATTACAAAAATTTGGTATTGATATCGTAAGTAGAATCTGTTCTGATCAATTGAAAGTTTTGTTTCGCACTTGTACCATTGTCTACATAAAATTTTGAATCATCCACGTTGTCTAAAAATTTTAAACGTGTTCCAATCAATCAAGTTTGATTTACCAACAGTAGGAATTAAGATGCACTGATGTAATCCAACGAAGTAAAAAATTAGCGGTTTCTGTTATTTCTTCGTCGTTATTGCCACATGGTATAGGGAAAGTTAGTAATCCGGCTAACTGGAAATGGTATGACTGTGGACAGGGCATAGCGGTGTGAACCAGCTAGGGGGGGTATTCGTCAGCGGACGACCCTTGCCCGATTCCACCAGACAGAAGATCGTCGAACTGGCACACTCCGGAGCACGACCCTGCGACATATCCAGGATACTCCAGGTCTCCAACGGATGCGTCTCCAAAATTCTCGGCAGGTATTACATTTGTTGGAAGTATCAGGGTTCCAACTGAACATAGAGGGATTGATGACTTCACGCTGACCATCAGTATCAACATTGGAATTTTCAGAGGGTGAATACACCAACAAAAGTAGTCAAATCACAAAACATCTATATTGAAGTCAAATTGGATATTCATAAAGAAGAATTCTCTTTCTAGACTCATTTAGACATAGAAATATTTTCATTTTTGAAGGAGTCATAACTTTTCTTTCAAAAATGTTTTGCCGGAGAGCAAAAGCATCCATGGTACAGTTCATGTCACTTCATTCCAGTTCATATAAAATGACTTGGTGGACTGGTTGAAAGTGAAGTTTTAAAATATTGGGGATGTTACCAATAATAGACAATATTCTATACGTTAAGCAAAGAAGATTATTTTTTTCTAGGTCGAGCTTTTGCTAATGTTTGTTAGCTTCTTTGCTCAAGACCCAGGACGTTATCTATTACAAACATCTCCCTAATATTTCACATTTTCAAGTACACGAATACAAGGTTCCTTTAGAAGTGTTACTTTTTTCTAAAAAATCAGGACATTTTATTGAAATATTGTCTAGCAGACAGATAAAATCAGTTTAAAAATATGGATAAATGTCCGATTTCTCTCCTTTGGATTTATCATTAGTATTAAATAAAATCAAATTTAAAACATTGCCTTGCTTTCTCCCCTCTATGATCATTTGTTACTGTTACTGTGTGTTAAAAGCTTATACTGGTTATATCAGTATGTCAAATCAGAGTTCCGCCAATTTTCGGAATAAGTTTCGAAAATCGATTCAATGTATGTTTGAGACATTAGTTTTCGTCAAGGTATTGACGAACAAAAAATTATGTCTCACCATTCAAGAAGCTTGAAACTACACATCACACACATTTGCGTGTCGAACAATCGAATAAAAGATATATTTGGCCTTTTCAATGTATTCAGGCTTGTATCTATTGAATGAAGATCTTTGCGTTTGACCAATGAACAACATATTCCACCTGAAGATAGTCAACCTAATACTATACTCGCATATCTGAAAAATTATCTGAGATAAAATGAGATACCGTTGCGTTATCTATGATAATTTGTCACAGCTATGTTTATCCCCTCCACAATAATTAGAAATTTACTTTGAAAAGGTTAGTGTTTCAAAGATGGCGCTGTTGCAGACTGTACTGTATAGCTACAGCGCCATCTATGAGACACTAACGTGTTCAAAGTAAAGTAGTGAAGTAAAGTAAAATAACCAACCTATCATGATTGTCAGGCTTAACGGTTCGTTATGTTTGTGGCACTAAAAACTCTCTAATATTACACTGCTAATGAGGTTGAAAATGACCACTGTGTCGAAAATCGGACGCTGTTCCAAAAACCAGTATTAAGACTCTTGACAGAGACGAACGTCTTCCTAATCGTTTGTTCCTACAAATGTCACATAGATTTATGACAGATAATTGTATGATTAAAAAGGCTGACATTAAGCAAAATGAGTGTCATATATATTCATTTTTGTTGAATTGTGAAAAGTTGGTTACATATTCCTCCTAATGCAGATAATTTACAATATTAATTATAGTTCCTGCATTAATATAATCATAATTTTGCCTATCTCATTTTTTTTCTGAACTTTTCACATAAACATGCATGGGCGACAATTTTCCATTTGCAGGACTATAATTTTGATGATAGCATCGTGGATTTTTTCACTTTTCCTCCAAACTACTGCACCTGGCCTATTGGGTTGGAACGCGCTGATAGGTATTATTTTTCAGACGGTTTTCTGTCAATTGTCAATCCCCTTGTGATGTGTATTGCACATAGCAATTTTTTTAATGTGTCTAACAAATAGTTTCGCTTAAGTATGAATCCAGTCGTATTTGCCGTTTTGCTGAGTGTTCTCATTCGCATTCGTAATAACCTTAAGCACCATTCTTACTGAACTATGAACGTTAAGATCAGCTTATGGAATATAGTTGTCATTTTCTTTGCAGCTCTTGAAGATGATAACATATTTTATCTAAAGCTTGAGAATAAAGTTGCAATGATTTTGCTGACATTCCATTCCATTGATAACTTGTCATCTAATTAGTTCTTGACGGCAACGACTATGTCCACGATCTTCGAGCCACTAACCTTTTTAGTAGACTTTTAATTGTTGCGAAGATGAGAAACATAGCGTCACAATCTCGTAGATGATGCAACGGTATGTCATTTTATCTCTGATAATTTTTCAGACGCGCTAATATAGTATTAGGTTGGCTATTCTAAGGTAGAATATACTTTAATCAATGCTAAAACGTTATATATTGGAGAGAGTATACGTTATAAAGTTTTCATTAGGCAGGCCCGAATATAAGATGTTCCTCCAAAAATAAAGAATGGTATACTATATGGTCTTTAATTTGTGCAGATACTACGAGACGGGTTCGATAAGGCCGCGGGCGATCGGAGGTTCGAAACCCCGTGTGGCCACCGCCGAAGTGGTCTCGAAGATCTCCGCATACAAGAGGGAGTGTCCGTCGATATTCGCCTGGGAAATCAGGGACCGACTCCTACAAGAAGGGGTCTGCACTAACGACAACATACCCAGCGTAAGTGTTTGTGTGTTTATTATCGTCATCGTATTTATATTTTTATTATACAGGGTGTTTCATGATTGAACGTCAATATTTAAGGGGACCATTATGTGTCGATTTTCGGTTCCACTTCAAGAATTTCTCATTACTAGAATCGACAATTCTTTTCCAAAATAACAATGCTCGATATCTTAAACACCAAATTAATACAAAATAAAATAATGACAACCTTCTTGACAACAGAACTAATAATTCTGACAGCTACATCCTACTATAATGGTAAGTAATAATTATTTCCTACTTAAGTATTTTTTTTATGTTACTCTGAAGTGTATTTTTAAAATCCTTATTATGAGCAGATTTGATCTCCCAGCGTTATGAACATCTTAGATATTATCATTTAGATTGCAACTTATCAATATAACAATGCCAGACTGTTACGGGGTATAGCTAGACACAGAATGACCCCAATTAATAACAAGAAATTTATATAAGTAAGACGAAGAATAATTTATTAAAATTATTTCTCTGCACGATCATATTGCCATAGAAACAGTTTTCATTGTTTCAAGCCAAAACCGTGCGTCGGATTGGGGATCTCAAAAACTTATTTCTATTTTAAGAGAAATCAGTGGCGTACCATCAATCTTCCAAAACAGCTAGGTGAAATTCCGAACGAATGTTATTGAAAGAAATTAAAAAAAATGTAAAATAAATAATACCTTCATAAAAATGTATGCCGAATTGCATTAAAATATCTAAAGTGCTATTAGCCTCTGTATCTCAGGTTAAGACGTTTAGTACATATGCTTATATGAAGTTTCTTTCTTAAAGTGAACCCATAAATTGCCCCCTTAAATATTGATCTTTAACTAGGAATCACCCTGTATCCACATGCTTTGTGAGTTCATTTGTGATTGATAAAATTGAAATATCTACATCTAGTAATAGTCTATACACGTGCTTGAAACATTGATATTACACTGTTAAGGGATATACGAAAATATTATCAAAAATATAGAAACAAAATGTCAATAGAACATGGAAGAAGGGTAATTTTGTTTTTCTTCCCACAACACAGGCGAGGAAGTATTTTAGGTAATCTCAAAAAACTGGAAAAATAGATTGTGATCGATAAAGAAATTTTTTCAACACATGCGGTTCCGATTGGCCAGAGAGGGAGATTGAAATATTGTTTGCTCACTATTATCAAATTGTTGTGTCTGGATCGCTGTAACTGACTGTCACCATTCGGTTTTTCCATGTACTGGGCGCTTACAGTCATACTACATACAAGCACCTGATACCTTGAAACGCGTCTCACACATGTCTTGCGTGTTATCCCTCGGTACCGATTTTCTGTCTCCAAATTCCCGTTAAATCTGCTCGCTGGCGGATGTGTAGGGATATAAAGATGATCCTTTGGGGCGGAATGGGGTGTATGGGGTATGGGGTGGCAGGCAGCAAACCGTGAACAGAGACGCCGACGTCGCGCGGCGTCCCAGGCGTCGCGTCGCAATGAAAAGAGGGTGCATACATTTACACGATCTGTTTCACGGGGAAAAGGCGCACCCTGTTGCAAGGTTTTTGCATTGACCTCAACGGCACTCTGGAGAATCGGCTGTGGAGATTTTTATGATGTCCTAATGATATATGAATGGGTAAAAATTTGGTATCAGGATAACAGAAACGTGAGTATGATAATCGTAAAAATGCCTACAGGTTCAAATTAGAAATGGGTAAGGATTATGGTATCAGGATAGCATAATCACAAGGAAGTATGGAAATCGTATATCGCTCCTGATGTAGCAGTAGCGGGAAATTCGAAGTCGCGGCGTGTAAACCTCTCGTCGTTTTGCAATCTTGATAGAGTCAATGATATATGAATGGGTACAGACTTAGGACCGGGATCGAAGAAGCGCAAAGAGGTATGGAAATCGGATTCTGCTTCTGATCTAGAAGTGGCGCGAAATTCAAAGTAGCAGCATGCGAACCTCTCGTCGTCTTGAGACCCTAATATAGGACTCTTAATGGCACATGAATGGGTAAATATTTGGTATCAGGCTATCTGAAGCGTGAGAAGGTATGGTGATCGTATTCCGTTGATGATATAGAAGTAGCGGAAAATTATAAACGTACAAACCCGTCGGCATCCTATGATCCTGATAGAGAATTCTCAATGACACATAAATGGGTAACGATTTAGGATCGAGATAGCAGAAGCGCGAGGGGGTATGGAAATCGTACTCTGCTTCTGATCTAGAAGTGGCGATAAATTTAAAGAGGAAGCGTGCAAACCTCTCTTTGTACTGCGATCCTAATGAAAGAGAATTCCCAATGACACTTGATTAGGTAAATACCAGGATAACATCAGCGTCATGAGGTGCGGAAATCGTATTCCGCTCCCGATGTAGAATTGGTGGAAAATTAAAATTATCAGCGTGCAAGCCTCTCGTCGTTTGCGGTCCTAATATACAATCTTCAATGACAGATGAATGGCTAAAGATTTGAGATCAGGATAGAAGAAGCGCGAAGAGGTATAGCAATCTTGTTCTGATTTTGATCTAGAAGTGGCGAGAGAAGCGTGCAGTCTTCTCGGCGACCTGCGATTCCAGAAAATTCTCAATAACACACGGATGCGTAAAGACGAAAGATGATTACTTTTTTGACCTAATTTTATTTCGGCAGCATCGCATTTTCGTCGTATCTTCAGACTTCGAAAAAAGTTTGAAAATCCTTTCAGCCTCTAAAGGAGGGATTACCCACATTTCTGTGGTCACATCCTCCGCCCCTTCACCCTTGTATATTCCTTTAACCAGCCTGACATTGTATCTCGCAGTTACAGGGTGGTTTAAACAGTGGCAGCGTTCACAGAGCAAAAGGTACGTCAAAAGAAAACCAAAAATTCCTACAAATACGGTTCCTAAAATGTCCAAGGTACCGGCTGTTGAACAATTTCAAAATCATGAAAATATTACATCACAGAAGCTAACAAAGATATCGGCTTAAAATTGTGTCCATGTAGTTCTAACAACATAGTCGTTACATACAAAAACATCTGACAAAATAACGGCAGTGACGTTGAAACTGAAATGTTGAGACCCATACAGAATTTTTTTAATACCACAGAAGTTTTTGGAAAATCTCTTTCTTTAAAATCTTTGTCGGACCTCTACTTTTAGGGAAACTATGAAATGAATATTTGACGTAAAATGAGGGAAACATTGATCCATTTTAATTTGAAAATTTAGTCAAGTTTGATATTGGGAGACATTATTCATTTGACAAATATTCCTAGGAAGTGCGCACAAATCCACAACATCCTGTATATTGGTAATTTGACATTTTAGCGATAAGCTTAGCACTTTTTCAGTATTTAAATCTAACTCAGAATCCCTTTTACGATACCTTTTCGCATATTATTACAGAAAGTGAAGCAAATTCTGTTAAATAGAGATTACATGATTGAAAATACTACACCATCGAAATTAATATGTTAAAATTTAGCATCAAACGCGTTTTCGGGGTTGAATACCATATGATAAATACGTCAACGGACAAAACATGAGTATTTAAACAATTTTATCGAAAAAGTGAAACAATAGCCGCATTACATCGCGATACAGGCCAAAAATGGATTTTTCCCATTCATCAACCACCAGTTATGAATGCTTTTGTAATGGATACATATCAGAGGATAGTGGTGCGATTTGAATTTCCACAAAAGATGGCTGTTGTGGCGGGTTAATAAATTATATTCGAAACAGCGCATTTTAGTGAAGAACTAAAAAATACATACTTTATAATTCATCATATACATATATTTTCTCTGACCAATCGATTTATGGCATTGAAGCCTTGTTGAGTAACGTCAGGTAATCAGTCATTTAGACCGCAGTTAAAAAGTGTATTTGGAGCTCAAATATTATTCGTCCATCAAAACCTACATTTTGTTACTTTACAAAACGTAATTTTTTATTTGAAAAATCGAAAGTTTAAAGATGATGCGTATAGCAGGAAAAATAATGGTCATGTGTATTGTTTTTAATATACATTATAATGGAGATACTTGAAATCAGACGTGCTCCTCACAATTTATAGTCCAATTAGTGATAGCACATTGTTGCTTTTTACCGTTTCTCTGAGTCATTGTACAAGTGATGTACGTTGTGACTTTAGTGACTACCAAAGTGATAAAAATGACATTAATACACTATATGAAAAACTGTGTTTCTCGTTATGGTATCTGGTTTTCATGTGCACACAGTATTCAATGGAGTTAATTATTCTTTGTAAATTAAAGCTAATCCTCCTAATCTTAGGAAAGCTCTTACACTGTTGCACACCTTCTTCCATGTGCGATAACACATCAAGTGTAAATAATCATTGTTGACAAGTACAGTTTATTGACATTAGTTGATACCGCCTTCATTAACTTGGCGTACAGGAAACTGTCGGAAACAAGTTAAAGAAGGGTTGAGGGTAGGCGGACCAGATAGTTCGTGACAGGCCGAAACAGGCGTTGAAAGTTGTGGGTATTGTCACTCACGGGTATAGAAAAGAATGGTGTCAAGTAGGTTGACTCTGCACTTCCCACGCAACGCCGTCATCAATTCCTAAAGGATTATGTTCAGCACAGCTAACCCTATGAGAAAGAAGCTACGAACATGTATAACAGAAATTAAACGGATCAAGTCAGTCACGCAGGCCTATACAGTTGGACCATAGACATTTCTTGCCGGCCATACCATATACCTGACCACGCAACACGTTAGACTCGACATCGAGGCACCGCGACAGTAATGGCTGACACTCATTGAGATTGTGACGTCCGCCATTGAAGCCAGAGAGCAGAAGCAGACATGCGTCTTGCAAACATTTCTCCATCATTCTAAGGTTTAAGGGCAAATGTACGGGGAAATCTATAATGTGTGAAATATAGCATATAAGCATATACATAACATCAAAAAAATTATATATACCCAACCCCTACAGCACTCAACACCCAATTCTTA